GCTCAACTCTGCCGATATTCAACATTAAAAATAAAGTAACCACAAACATCACTCATATAACTACAATTATTTTTATCATCATCAGTATATCAATAGTCAATTCTTACCACATCCGGGACAGCGCCACCTGTCAGTTTGTTGACCAATAGGCATAGCACGTGACCATCTTGGAAACTACATGAAATTATGAAGTGTATTGTTACTTTAATTTTTTATAGCTAGGGGCTCTTCTGACCTCCTAATGCAGGCGCTTAACAACAAAAATCGGTATTTTACCTTTCATAACCCTTGACTGTKTGGTTGGTCAKACTGGACACCCACTCAAGAATAGCGACATCTTCRATGTCAATCACTGCGGTTCTAGGTGATTKGGAGGGTGTACTAGATTGTCTATCTCCGTCTAGTGAACGTAGATTGATTGGTGGTGAGATACTTCTGGAGRACGAGGAYGGGCCTGGCCCTYGTGGTGATCTTTTTGGTGTACCTGTTTAAACAAACAGAAGTGGATGCTAGATTATTCACTATTGGCGTTCAACAATAATAAATTGACGATCGATAGACGTCGAAAGCATTATATTATTATAACGATATAAATTGTTTCACTATTTGAAAAAATGCATATACGTTACTGTTCTTAAAGAACACATGATTATTTCTATTGCTACTCATTACATCATAATAAATACTAGTGGAATATTGGTTGGAAATGCCTTATTATAGTCATTCATGAAGAAACTCGGACTGACATTTAACGAACGGTTCTATTTAAAAATACCATCGCCTACAATTACTACACACATTACAGATTAATAACATTACAAGAGACTTCAATTTCGAACTATAAAATGCAGGAAATATAAGGATTTATTACCTTGACGTCGTGGAACGATCCTGGTTGGACTACAACATTAAACTAACTGAATTTACATAAAACGAACTGCATGAAAACGGAGTAAATACACAAGGGAAAACAACTGCATACTAAGGATTTCTAAATAAAATACATTATAAAAATACGATATAAAAAAAACAAAAGAGTCTTCATTAGCTGTAACATGTCTTAATATATTTGTTGCAWTAGGGTGTGACCAAATTGAGTACCGGAAACCCCCTGGTTCCGCCCTTATCACCGAAAAAGGACTTGTTGTTACCTGTTGATGAACCGAAGTGTTTTCTGAGAGATTGACAAAGAGCGAGTACAATTTTKGCATTTTTCTTCACTATATCTAAAGAACAAACCAACAACAAAAAAAAAACGTTTTATGGTGGTTGATTCACGATATTCCATACAAAGCATTGAACCGAGGCGTCAAGGTACACTGAGAATAAAAGAAAAGATCTGCGTTCATTGTTTCTTGATTCCTCGGTTCCGTGTTGTGCTCGTGATCAATGCCAAACCTAAGTATGGACAGTCGTAAAAAAAATTAATAAAGGCAACTTTTAAAATCTTCGTGACTTTTACCTTCAGTTGTGACGTCATGCATCGATATACCACGTGATGTCAGTATGTCAAGACACTTTTGAATATTCTCAATTTTCTGTACTTCTAACGCTGGTTTGACGTGAACTGGAGTTACAACTACACCAACTGTACATACATAACAAGAAAACATTTCTATCAATGAGGTAAT